GGCCTTGGCAATGATTTTTTTTCTTTTTCTTTTTTAACTAGCACATAGGTCAGTACTACAGTTTATATGTTTGTCTTCTCCAAAGCTTATGTTGAAATTTGGTCCCCCATGTTGGAAGTGAGGCATTGTGGAAGGTGTTTAGTTCATGGGGGCAGGTCCATCGTGAATAGATTAATGTTCTCCCTTGGGAGTTAGTGAGTGCTCACTGTATTAGTTCTTGCTAGAGATGGTTGTTAAAAAGAGCCTGACACCTCCCCCTAATGCTTGCTTCCTTTCTTTCCATGTGATCTTTGTACATGCTAGCTCCCTTTCACTCTCTTCTATGAGTGGAAGCAGCCTGAGATTCTCAACAGATGCTCAATCTTAAACTTTCTCAGACATCAGAATTGTGAGCCAAATAAATCTTTTTCCTTTACAAATTGCCCAGTCTCGGGTATTCCTTCATAGCAACACTGAACAGGCTAAGGAAGTCAGACAACAAAAGCAAAAATAAAGAAGTGGGACTACATCAAACCAAAAAACTTCTGCACAGCAAAGGAAATAATTGACAAAATAAAAATGCAGCCTACAAATTGGGAGAAAATATTTGTAAAATATATATCAAATAAGGGGTTAATATCCAAAACCATAAGGAACTCACACAACTCCATAACAGACAGGCAAACAAAAACAAATCACCTGATTTAAAAAATGGGCAAAGGACCTGAAGAGACACTTTTCTAAAGGAAACACAAAAATGATCAACAGGTATAAAGAAAAGGTGCTCAATATCGCTAATTATCAGAGGAAGTACTAATCAAAACTACTATTAGGTAACACCTCACACCTGTTAGGATGGCCATTAGCAAGAAGACAAGAGAAAATAAGCATTAAAGATGATATGGAATAAAAGGAATCTTGTAAACTCTTGATAGGAATGCAAACTGGAAGATCTGTTATGGAAAATTGCATGGAGGCTCCTCAAAATGTCAAAAATAGAACTACCATATGATCCAGCAGTCCCTCTGCTGGGTATATCGAAAGGAAATGAAATCAGTATGTCAAAGAGATCTGCACTCCATGTTCACTGCAATATTATTCACTATAGCTAAGATACGGAAACAACCTCAATGTCCGTTGACAGATGAATAAACCATGTTTGTATGTATGCATGTATGTGTGTATATACATATGTGTGTGTATGTATATATATATATATATATACATACACACACACGCACACACACACACAATACAATATTATTCAGCCATTAAAAAAAAGGAAAAACTGCCATTTGCAACAACATGGATGAACCTAGAGATATTATGGTAGGTAAAATTAGCCAGACACAGAGAGTCAAACAGTGCATGATCTCACTTATTAGGATTCTCTTTTTTTTTTTTTTTTTGAGACATTTCTAGGGGCAAGGACAGGGGCAGAAATGAGGAGATGTAGATCAAATGATACAAAATTGCAGTTATATAGAGCAAACAAGTCTGAATATCTCATACACAGCAAGAAGACTGTAGTTAGTAACATTTTATCCTGAAAAATTACTAAAAGAGTGGATGTGAGATGCCCTTCCCACAAAAATGCAGCCATGTGAAGTGTTGAGTATGTTAATATGCATGCCTGTAGTAATAATTTTATTATGTATATACATGTCAAAATATCATGTTTTTAACAAACAAACTCATGTTGTACGCCTTAGAAATACGTAATAAAATATAAACAATTTATAAAAATAATATGAAAATCGTTCTGATACAGCTATTTTGGTCAAAAGTGAAAAATATTGCCATTTTTTATGTTTCTGAGTACCAGTGTTTAGCTCCCACTTATAAATGAGAATATGCAGTATTTAGTTTTCTGTTCCTCATTAATTCATTTAGGATAATGGCCTCCAGCTGCATCCATGATGCTGCAAAGACATGGTTTTATTTTTTTTTTATGGCAATGTAGCATGTCATGATATATATGTGCCATGTTTTCTTTATCCAATTCACCGTTGATGAGCATCTATGTTGATTCCATGTCTTTGCTATTGCGAATAGTGCTGTGATGAACATACAAGTACATGCCTCTTTTTGGTAGAACAATTTATATTCCTTTGGGTATATTCCCAGAAATGGGATTGCTGGGTCAAATGGTAGTTCTATTTTAAGTTCTTTGAGAAATCTCCAATCTCCTTTCCACAGTGGCTGAACTAATTTACATTCCCACCAACAGCGCAACAGTGTGTAAGCATTTCATTTTCTCAACAACCCTGCCAATATCTGTTATTTTTTGACTTTTTAATAATAGCCATTCTGACTGGTGTGAGATAATATTTCGTTGTGATTTTGATTTACATTTTTCTGATGATTAATGATGTTGAACATTTTTCATACTTGTTGGCCCCTTGGATTCTTCTTGGGAGAAGTGTCTGTTCAGGTATTTTGCCTACCTTTTAATAGGGTTAATGGTTTTTTGCTTGTAAGTTCCTTATAGACTGTGGATACTAGACCTTTGCCAGATGCATGGTTTGCAAAAATTATCTCTCATATTGTAGGTTGTCTGTTTACTCTTTTGATAGATTTATTTTGCTGTGCAGAAGCTCTTTAGCTTAATTAGCTCTCATTTGTCAATTTTTGTTTTTGTTGTAATTGCTTTTGAGGACTTAGTCAAACATTCTTTCCCAAGGCTGATGTCCAGAATAGTGTTTCCTAGGTTTTCTTCTAGGATTCTAGGATTCTTTGTGGGTTTTTTTTTTTTTTTTTTTTTTGAGACAGAATCTTGATCTGTTGCCAGGCGCCAGACTGGAGAGGAGTGGCCCAGTCTCTGCTCACTGCAACATCCACCTCCCAGTTCAGGCAATTCTCCTGCCTCAGCCTCCCAAGTAGCTGGGACTACAGGCTCGTGCCACCACACCCAACTAATTTTTGTATTTTTTAGTAGAGACGGGGTTTCACCATCTTGGCCAGTATGGTCTCGATCTCTTGACCTCGTGACCCACCCCCTCGGCCTCCCAAAGTGCTGGATTATAGGCATGAGCCACCGCACCACGCCCAGCCTCTTCTAGGATTCTTATAGTTTGATTTCTTACATTTAAATCTTTAACCCATCTTGCATCAATTTTGTGTATGTACATGAAAGGCTCCCATTTTATTCTTCCACACATGGCTAGCCAGCTATCCTAACACCATTTATTGAATAGGAAGTCCTTTCCCCATTGCCTATTTTTGTTGATTTTGTTGAAGGTCAAATGGCTGTAGTCTTATACTATGGTCCCTACTGGAGAAGGAAGGGAGGGAGATAGGGTATGGGTTGAAAAACTGACTATGGAGTACTGTGCTCACTACCTAGATGACAAGATCACTTATATTCGAAACCTCAGCACCATGCAATATACCAATGTAAAAAGCCTGCGCATGCGCCCCCCATGAATCTAAATTAAAAGTTGAAATTATTTTTAAAAAAGGAAATACAAATTGTGGGTTAAAGGATAAACAGTATATTGGTGTAGCATCAAAATATTTTCCCTGACATATTCATTAATACCTTTTACCTAATAATTTCTTTAAAAGACCTATGACTAGTTAAAGCAAAAATTCTAACATGGTATTGTGGGATTTATTACGTGTAGGTGCAAAATGTATGAGAGAAGCACAAAAAATAGAAGGAGGCAAATAGAACTGTTCTGTAGCAAGCCTTTTATATTTTATACTTATTAAAATAGTATAATATTAACTATAAATAGAGTATAAAGTGTTAGAGATACATATAATTTCTAGAACAACCACTAAAAATGTAAGGAGGTGTCACTTAAATGTTAATAAATGCATTGCATTAAATATAAAAAAGTTTTTGTATGAGAATGTTCTTAGCTCCTTAGTCACAATAACCCAACATTCATGCAACAGAATTCTTAGCAATACAGGAAACAAACTATCAAGCATACACCGTAGATGAATCCCAAAAATATTGTGTTGAGTGAGACAGCTGAACATAAAATAACACATATTATATGATTTCAGGCAAAATGAACCTTGATGAAAAATGTAAATATAGAGAAAGCTACTGGGAGAGAAAACATTTTCCTGGGGAAGAACATGAGAGAATTTTCCAACTATGATGAAATTATTATATTTTTTCTTTTTTTTTTTTTTTAATGTCCTGGCAACTTTCATTTAAGAAAATATTATATTTTTTAAAATATATGAAGGTTATATGGATACATTTATTTGTCAGAAATATACAGTTATGATTTGTGCCTTTGAATGACCTCATTTAAAAAAAAAGAACTGATATATGGGTTTGGGGAATGGCTTGAACTGTAGGTGACACAAAAACGGTACATGGTTAGTGGTTGCCGACGCTGGGTGAAAGTCTATTACACTAAGTGGTTTACTTCGTACTGTTGAAAATGTTCTGCAACAAAACACTCGTATACAAAATTAGCAAAATGAAAACTAATAAGGCTGGTGAATTTTTTTACACTTGGCTATTTTACTCAGTTTTATAACTTTCATGCCTCCTGGAGACATCTGAGTTTGCAACTTTTGCTGAGACCTTTTGACTTGCATTTACCATTCCTTATTATTTGAAAATTAAGAGTAGCTTTCAGCATGGACAAATATACCAGTTAGCTTTTGCTGTGATGTGACTAAAAATAGCATTCAAGATTCTGAAGTTTAGCAATTTGGACTTGGTTCAGCTCAGTGGTACTTCTGGTCTCATTAAGGCTCACTCTTGCATCTGCTTTTAGCTACCAGGTCAGTGGGTAGGTAGCTAGACTGGATGGCTACATCTGGGAAAATTCATCTCTATTCTGTATGTCTTCCATGTTGCAGCTGCCTGGCTTGGACCACGTTGATATAGCAGAATTCCAAAAGAACAAGCAAAGGTGAGCAAAGCCACTCAAGGCCTACGCTTAGAAGTGGTAAACCTTTACTTCCTTCACTTTGTGTTAGTCACAGAAAGGCACTAACTATGCTAACTGCTGAATTTGAACCTTCACACAATGACTGCTCCTCTTGAGAGGATTCCACAGGTGCTTCGCCTTCAGAACCTGTTGAAAATGGAGAGACAGAAATGTCCCCAGAAGAATCATGGGAGCACAAAGAAGAAATAAGTGAAGCAGAACCAGGGAGTGGTTCCTTGGGAAATGGAAGGCTACCAGAGGAAAGTACCCATGAAATGATGGAAGAGGAAGAGGAAACCCCAAAACCTAAATCTGTGGTTGGACCGCCTGGTGCTCCTAAGAAAGTGCATGTAAATGTAGTATTCGTTGGGCATGTAGATGCTGGCAAGTCAACTATTGGAGGCCAAATAATGTATTTGACTGGAATGGTTGACAAAAGGACACTTGAAAAGTATGAAAGAGAAGCTAAAGAGAAAAACAGAGAAACTTGGTACCTGTCTTGGGCCTTAGACCCAAATCAGGAAGAACGAGACAAGGGTAAAACACTAGAAGTGGGTCGTGCCTATTTTGAAACCGAAAAGAAGCATTTCACAATTCTAGATGCCCCTGGCCACAAGAGTTTTGTCCCAAATATGATTGGTGGTGCCTCTCAAGCTGATTTGGCTGTGCTGGTAATCTCAGCCAGGAAAGGAGAGTTTGAAACTGGATTTGAAAAAGGAGGACAGACAAGAGAACATGCAATGTTGGCAAAAACAGCAGGTGTAAAACACTTAATTGTGCTAATTAATAAGATGGATGATCCAACTGTAAATTGGAGCAATGAGAGATATGAAGAATGTAAAGAGAAACTAGTGCCATTTTTGAAAAAAGTTGGCTTCAATCCCAAAAAGGACATTCACTTCATGCCCTGCTCAGGACTTACTGGAGCAAATCTCAAAGAGCAGTCAGATTTCTGTCCTTGTTACATTGGATTACCGTTTATTCCGTATCTGGATAATCAGCCAAACTTCAGTAGATCAGTTGATGGACCAATCAGGCTGCCAATTGTGGATAAGTACAAGGATATGGGCACTGTGGTCCTGGGAAAGCTGGAATCAGGATCTATTTGTAAAGGTCAGCAGCTTGTGATGATGCCAAACAAGCACAATGTGGAAGTTCTTGGAATACTTTCTGATGATGTAAAAACTGATACTGTAGCCCCAGGTGAAAACCTCAAAATCAGACTGAAAGGAATTGAAGAAGAGGAGATTCTTCCAGGATTTATACTTTGTGATCCTAATAATCTTTGTCATTCTGGATGCAGATTTGATGCCCAGATTGTAATTATAGAGCACAAATCCATCATCTGCCCAGGCTATAATGCGGTGCTGCATATTCATACCTGTATTGAGGAAGTTGAGATAACAGCCTTAATCTGCTTGGTAGACAAAAAACCAGGAGAAAAAAGTAAGACCCAACCCCGTTTTGTGAAACAGATCAAGTATGCATTGCTCACTTGAGGACAGCAGGAACCATCTGCCTTGAGACCTTTAAAGACTTCCCTCAGATGGGTCGTTTTACCTTAAGAGATGAGGGTAAGACAATTGCAATTGGAAAAGTTGAAACTGGTTCCAGAGAAAGACTAAGCATTTTCTTGATGATCCTGCACAATACTGTGAGGAAAATTGACTACAAAAGCCTGCTTCACACCACCTTCTCTTATTTTCTGCCCATTGATAAACCACTCCCCATATTTTGCAAACAGAAAATTCACAGTAAAAGTCCACATTATATTAGCTTTCTCATATTGAGAGCTCTGCTATGCCACTGTTGAATTTTTCCCAAGATTCTCGCCCCTAGCCCCCCCCTTCAAACTCTGCTTCCTTGGACAGATTTGGCAATAGCTTTGTAAGTGATGTGGACATAATTGCCTACAGTAATGAAAACCTACAAGAATTGTTTTTATTTTTCATTTTCCCCTTTTAGACATATTTAGTATTTTTTTCCCCAGGCAGATCATTCTGAGTGTGCGAGTGTGTGTGCACATGTTACAAAGACAACTGCCATGTTAACAAAATATTCAATTTGAAAAAAAAAAAAGAAAGAAAGGCACTAACTAGCTGGCCAGAAAGGAGTGGAGAAATAGATTCCACTACTTGAGGAAAGGAAGTCCAAAGTCTCATTGCAAAGGGCGTAGTACAGGAAGATGTGGACAATTGGGATTGTTTTAATTATGAATCTAACACACAAAAAAAGGGACCATAATGAAAAGCCTCACTTTATAGCCAGGGGACATAGTGAAACAATGCCCAGAAATAAGATCAAGAGTGATTTTGGGTGATTTATTGTCCTTAACAGATCCATTTCCGATCATTCTCTACACACTTGAGCAATGGTTCGAAACACAGGAATTTCTCTAACATTTGAGTTTAGTAGGGTCATCCCAATCAAATGAACAAGGATCCATTAGGCATGGGAACTAATGGGCACAGCCAGAAGCCAGCAAGCCAGGTGTTTAGGGAACTGGACAATCATTAGAGGAGGGAGCGGATGGCTTTGTAGGAGTCACAAGGAGCAGGGATGGGAAACTGAATGACCTAAGTGGCCAAACGGTCCAACCGCTCTCCATAACTATGACTAATGATTTGATAAATGAAAAAATGTAGGCTAGCTGGCAGGTCACTACATCACCATTATGTGTTTGCCTTTAAACCACAAGAGTCAGAGAGTAGATTTCTTGTACAGTTTGCAAACGGAAACTAATGATTTCTGTTCTCATACATGGACTTGCAAGCAGGAACTGCATGACTGCTTTCCAAATTCTAAGCTGACTGATCACAAGCAGCTCAGTAGGAGTTCCCAGCATAGCATAAGCCTGCTTCTAGCCTCTCCCTTGTATATTTCTGCTATGGTTACTTGAGGTCATTTATATTATTAAAAATTTTTGAAAAAAATAGAGAATAAATATGATAGTTTATTATGGCTGTCTTTGTAAGATTCTACCACCTATTGCAGCAAGTTTGAAGGTAAAAACATATTATTTTAATGAAGCTGTTTACTAAAAGATTAAAATGTTTAAAAGGCATAATGATGTTGGAATATTGTGGCATAGAAATTACAAATGTAGGTCTTCCAAATGTTAACTGTCATATTGCTTGTTTTCATAAGATTACGCATTGTATTTCACACTATACACAGACACCTGCAGATGTTTTATACCTATTTTTACTTATCTTCTAGAAAAAAATAGGTTTTGAATATTTTCTCCTTTAACCATATCACATAACTATAAATCTGTTACATACATGAGTAGATCAAAATCACAATTATATTGACAATATCTTGATATCAGATTAATAATTACTGCCTCTTAATTGGACTTCCAGTATACTTAAATTTCTTGAATTTAAATGCAATTTTATTATTTGAACCACTGATATAGAGAAATAGATCTCCTAATTATCAGTCAAAATCCCTATCCACAATACTGAGATAATGAATTCAAGACTAATTTAATTCCAGTCACAAATTTTGCCAGTGGTATTCAAACAAATATATAAGCTACTTTCTAGAAGTCACAATGTGGAATGTAAAATGCTTCAATACATTGGCTTTATTTTGCTTTCCTTTAGCACGCAGAACTAGTATTTGGATTAGTAGACAAAATTCAGAATAACTTTGCATTCTAAAACAGAATTCTCTGCTGGAAAGTTCTCACAAAATAATTTCTTTAAAGAGATATAACTAGTATAAGAGATTTGCAGACAAATTTGCATTTTTTTTTTTTTTGGTCCCAAAACCATTCTTATGGGACACCGTAGAATCCTATGATCAAGGAGCTTAGATTGTAGTGGTTGCTATCTGACTTTTTTTTAAAGGATATTTTTGTCAATGGATTTGTCAGATTTTCAAGCATAAAAACGAGGAGAAAATCCAGATTTGGCAAAGAATTTGGGGAAATGGCTGCTCTCAAGTACTGCTGTTAAAAATATTAATAAGTCCAATCTCTTTTTTTTTTTTCAATTTAGGAAGTTTATTTTGCCAAGGTTAAGGACATGCCTGTGACACAGCCTTAGGAGATCCTGGTGAATTAGTCCAATCTCTATAGAGGACAATTCGGCAACAGGTATGAGAAACTATAAAATATGCATTCCCTTCCATCTATTAATTCCAATTCTAGGAATATGAATCAAATAATAAACTAGACAAGTATTTATGCAAAGTTGTATATAAGAGGATGTTCAACTCAGCAGTCAATTCTAGCTAAAATTAAAAACGATGTCATTAATTACAGACTATCCAAAAATTACAAATAATTTTCTAGAAAGGAAATAGTCAACAGAGTAATATAAATCTGAATGAAATGATATTTAAAATATTAAATTAAAAAACAGGTTACATAAGAATACATTTATGATTCTACTTTGGTAGCTATAGAAGTAATTTCATTTTGTGTGTTTATTATAAATATATGTTGGATTTGCATACATAGATACACAAATTGAAGAAAACTCAGTAGCAAAATGAACAAAGCATAAACAGCAGTTATCATAGGAAAGTGAGATGATGACAATGAAAATGACGACTGGTCTTGTTTTCCACTTTCTATTTAAATTTCTTAACTCAGATTACTTGCATAAAAATAAATACATAAAATTAAAATAAGCTACTTCTGTCGAGTATGTGTCCTTAAAGCAGACACAGAACTGTTGCCCAGATATAACTCATTGCCCAGACTAGCCTGACTGCTAAAGAATCCTTGAGGCCATCTGAGTACTTTTTCTGAAGAAAATTAGGTAACTTACACAGCATCCAATGGCCTATGTAAAGTTATAAAGAATTTCTCAACAATAAATTTTCTTTGTTCCAAGTTTCCTCTTATTCATATGACTTTAATAACTTTTTCTTGTCCCAGTGATTAATTTATGCTTGTCTATTAGGAAAGAGATTATGGGCCCCTCCCCCTTAGCATAAGTCAGAGAATAGCCTTGCTTAGCACATATACAAAGTATTTTAGTTCACAGTGATCCAAAGTGTTTAGTGGTATTATTCTCCCATATTCACAGTCTTCAGACTATGCTTCAGACTGAGAAGGAAAGATATTCAGGTTTCCAAAAACCAGCAAGAATTTGGATAGAGTCCCCAGACAGCTTATTCATTTTCTTCTTTCCTGGTTTCTGGCTGAGACTTATGATGTTGAAACGTTATAAACCCACATCCCAGTCTTTTAAAATGAGGAAATACCTCAGTAAAGAAACAAAAGCTCCTGAATTGGATGCCCACAGAAATCTATCAAGTTATAAATAGTTTTTAGAAGAAGCACCCTAGGCACTGAAAGTACTTGTATGTGGGTATCTGATTTTGCACGTTACTGAAAGTGGTGATTTGAAGAAGAAATAGTTCTGTATCAGAGCACTTTTTAAAATTAAAACCTGAAAATGAGATGTAAGTTATCCAATTTTTTAGCACAACCTCAAACTGCCAACAGCAAGGGAAGGGGCAGCAACTGAGATCAATTTTTATACATGGTCCTAGTGAATCTCCTCAATAATCTCTTGGAGGACATCTTAACATTTTCACTTCATAGGTGATAAACTAAGCCCTAGAGACTAAATAAGCTGTCTAGGGTTACATTATTTGCATATGGGACACCCAGAATTTGACCTGAAGTGTTCACATTCTTGGTTAGATTTGAGAGACTGGAGACAGAGCTAGAGAGAAGAACATTAATCTTATGAGAGGATGATACATAAAATATTTACGATCAGAACCAACAGTAACTTTCTTCTCTGGCCAAAGACTGAATCAATTAACAAATAAGAATAAGACAGATAAGACAGCAAAAATCATCTTTATTACCAACAAAGCTGATATGACAGGCAATGAATAACATCTTTGGGAAAACTGACTTAGTGAGTCCAGAATTAAAGCAGGTGTCCCCATTCAGGTACAGACCATTTTGGAACACCATAGCCTCCCCTCTGGGAGCAAGCAGAGAACAAACAAAAACCCATGTTCTCTACAGGCAGGCTGTCTCCCAGGAAGAGAAAAGAATGAATATGGTGAACTGAGTTTGTCTACTTTATCCTTTTTTTTCTTTTTCTTTTTTCTTTTAAGATGGAGTCTCACTCTGTTGCCAGGCTGGAGTGCAATGGCATGCTCTTGGCCCACTGCAACCTCCACCTCCTGGATTCAAGTGACTCTCTTGCCTCAGCCTCCCGAGTAGCTGAGACTACAGGCGTATGCCACCATGCCCAGTGAATTTTTGTATTTTTAGTAGAGCCGGGATTTCATCATGTTGGCCAAGATGGTCTCAATCTCGACCTCGTGATCTGCCCACCTCAGCCTCCCAAAGTGCTAGGATTACAAGTGTGAGCCACCACGTCCAGCCTACTTTATTCATTCTAAATTTACCAATAAGAATGTCTCTATTCTTCCCCCATGGAGCAACGGAGTAGTAGATGAGAGGGCGGGAGAGAATCCAGGAATGTTACATTAGTAGAACTCCTTCCACATGGAAGGAAGCATTGGGAGTGTAGAAGAGTCATTCCTACACAAGAACTTTAGTTTGCACAGTCTAATAACTTCAAGATTCAAACAGTGTGTTTCTTTTAAACATACTGCTTAATTTCTAAATTTACAGATTTTTTTTTCCAGATTCTTGGAAAAAAGTAAAAAGGATATGACAAACCAGGAGAGCTGGGTTTCCCCTATTTTTCTTCTCCTCTCTCCCTTCAGTTCCTGCCACTCCTTGCGCCAGATAAAGTATACATACATAACTCTGACTTAGAGTGAAAAATGTTTATTCATAAGGAGCATTTTGGAAGATGAGATTCCCAGGGCCTAAAGGCAGTTGAGAACCACCTATCCCCTTAAACTGGGGAGGATAAGTGGGGTAGAGGAGGAGGGCGATAATTTTTTCTTCACAGGTGGAGT